ATGCAGGAAAAAATGCTGAACCTAACATATATATATATATATATATACACATAAATATATATATATATATGGATATAGATAAACATTGAGTGGAATGTCTTAAGAAAAAAGAGATTTACATACATACCACTCAGATTCTTGCGGTGCTCACAAATGTAACATCTAAACTTTAATTTTTATATATTCATGAAAATATATAAGTTATATTTGTAAAATTAAAATGACAATTTTTTTTTGATGCTAAACTTTAATTTTTATATATTCATGAAAATATATGTTATATTTGTAAAATTAAAATGATAATTTTTTTTGATATAATATGAAAGATCTGGTTGGTGTAAATGTAAACAATTATATTTAATGTGGGGTCATGTAAAAAAATAAATGCTTGGAAAAGGATTCTACACTAACGATCCTCACCAACAATTCCAAATCAGTTCTAAGGCGTACTTTGATCTTACCCCCTGCTCTTCAATCTTTTCCATTCTTTCGTTTCTTTACTTATTTCTTTAGTTCACATTGTTCTGCTATTCAAGCGACCGTCTCCTTCCGGCATCGGTGGTTCTCTGGTGATTAATCGGTTTCCATTAAAGAACTCGGTAATTTCTTCATTGCCATTTTTCTTTCTAGATTCTTAATTGCAGTTGTTGAAATAAAGCCAGATAGTTTGAATTGAAAGAGTCAATTTTGAATATAGTAACAATTCATGCAATAGAAAATACAAAAATGGAAACGTAGGAACATTTAATGATTCGTCTGAGCATTCGACGACCAGGCCAAGTACGAACCTATTGAAGATTTTAATGATTTTTTTTTCTCTACTGAATGTACGAAAGTAGATGGAATGAAAAGTGCAAGAGTAAGGAGGTGTGTGTGTATATGCGTGCAAGGAGGTGTTTTATGAATCTTATAGTTGTAAAAGATGCCAAGGATGAGCATCATGATGTGTTTTATAGGAAAAGATAAAGAGTTGCTTTTTAATTGTTCATCTCCTTCCTCAGAACTTCTCAGTTCTTCTCTAATCCTCTCAAAACTAATTAAGTCCTTTCAAGAATGCCAATTTGATTTTCCTCAACTTAGGATCTTCTTCCTTCCTCCTTTGTGTAAGAACATTGTAATTTTAAATAAAATACAAGGCAACCTTTCCTCTTTCTACAATGGAAATAGGTCATTAGAACAGTATATAGCTTGGTGTATTGTCTATTGTTTCTTTAGAGTGCTTTTGAGAAAAATTAAGTTGAAATTATTTATTTTGGGATAACAAATTTAGTCCTTAATGAGCCTACTAAAAGTAACAATGCCTACATTTAAGCTAAAAAATTCGTGTGAAGTATGCATGACAAAGATAAAGTGATTTGCATTGGTACTCCACAAGACAACCTCAATAAGAATTTTGCAAATTTTATTAAATCATGCTCAGGCACTTTGTTTTAGGCTATAGATGGCTTCAGTTTACATTATTCAATCTCCTCGTGAAGTACATATCTTGGGAGTCGCTCCATTTATACAGTTTTTGTTATAGAGCCATACAAAATTCTCTTTCACATCCCTTCACAAAAGAGATGAGTTGAGTTGAGTCTAGTCTAACAACAGTTGAGAAGGTGTAAAGGTGGTTAAGACCATTAACTTGAGTGTATCATTAACAACTAAATGAGCACTGTATTGATCAACATGATTATTAGAATAAATTTGACAGTGTAAATCCATTGACATGGAATAGGTTTAGCCCTAGGAGGTGAGGTAACATGTTCCCATCACTGTCAATTTAGTAGAAAATGCATTTAATGTCCAATATTTGTTTCAAGTGAGGGTCTTGTAGGTCTTTTTGGTATGTCTAAGCTGTAAAAATAAAGGCAGGCACAAAGAAAAATGTCACAATTGATAGAAAGGCGATAGGTCTTATAAGATTCAAGATGATGAGAAGTAATTGACTTTTACCTTGTTTAAAAGCAATGTGAAGATGAAGGCCTAAAAATTCATCAATAAGTGGATGTTTAATTGGTTTATACAAAGTTCATGAGGTTATTATTGCAGTTAGAGGATTAGACAGGCTACAAGTGGAAGAGGGGAAGTTAAGGAAAGAGAATGGTGTGACACTCGAAGGAGAAGGGTTAGAAGGGGACATTTACTGAGTTGAAACCTTTTGCAAATGCAATAGGACCACATCCCAAGATAAACTTAAAAGGGCTTTTGTATGCAGCATCAAGGTATAGACAACATCAGTTAATTGGTGTAGTTTTCATTCAATACCATCATTTGTTGAGATGTACAACAATAAGATAACTAATGAATAATTCCATTGCCAATAAAAAATAAACTGAAGTTTATATAAATTTCATAGCATTGTCAGCTTGAAGAGTTTAGTCAAAGTAGAGGATTGAACTTCGATATGTTGTGGAAAAATTTGAATATAGCCAAGACCTTTTACATGCATTTGGGTAAACAATCTAATGCCGCCTTAGAGTGATTATTAATAAAGATGATAAAATATTCAATGCGAAGGTGAACCACGGTAAGACTTGAACCCCATATGTCAAAATGAACTAGTTCAAATGGGATAATGCTACAAGATCTCTTGGTTGAAAAAGATGCCCAATGATGTTTATCAAGTGCGTGTGCATTACATTAAAAGTTGGAAGATCAAATTAAAGTATACTGCAAAAGAAAATGTGGTGTTGGATGACTCAAATGATAGTGCCATTGGTAAGGAGTAATGGTGGAAAAGAGGGCAAAGGAGACTAAAGGTGTCAAATACTAAACTCTATTAGTTTAACACGTCCACTCATCTTCATCATATCGAGATTCAAAAAAATTCTATAAAAATGATAAAATGTTACATAGCAGCTTTTTTATTTGGTCTGTAATGAATAGAGAGTGAAGACGTTTGGAAGATATAGGTTTGTGGATAGACACACATCCTAGCCAAAGACATAAATGTAAGATCCATCTGCAACAAGGATCAAAAACAGTGAGGACAAGTGAAGTGAAAATTGACGACTGGTGATTGCCTGTCATATATTAGGAAGCACCAAAATCTAATAGCCAGGAGGAAGCAACAACAAAATAAGGGGAAGCAATGTCGTGGGATACATATAAAGATGCCTAAGAATGATGAACAAGGCAATCATAATCCTCCAATGGAAGCATAATCGGCTTAGAAAAATTGATGTTAGTAGGTGAGCCAATAGTGGGAACCAAAGATCCAGATAAATGTGAAGGATGGTGGAATTTAATTCAACAACAATCTGAAGGGAAAAAAGTATGAACACAATGGGAACACCGATAAAAGCATTTTCTCTTATGTCCAAAGGCACAAACATGACCACCATGATGTTCTATTACTAGAGTAGCCTGTTCAGAGATTGAGGGGGAGTAAGTTAAAAACTTAGCGACTCGTAGAACTGAAATGGAGAAGTTAAAATGCTAGGAATAGTGAAGTTTGTCATCAATTGTGATCACCCTTAAATAGTCAAGGGTGAAGTTCAGAGAGAAATTTGGCTACAAGAAACTTCATACTCTATGTTTGCTAAGCGGTCAAATTAATTGTGAAGGTTATTGAAGTTCATCTCATTTGCCATTTAGGGTACAATAGTTTTTCAATACGAAAAGATCATTTTGTTGTAGAGAAAATATTTCGGTGTAAAGTGTGTAGACATTGGATACGCTTACTTTTCTTAAAGAGGATGGAAAAATACCATGTTTAATACTTATAATCTTTGTTGCAGTGCCAATTGTATAACCATTTACATAATATGTCAACACTTTTCATCCTTCATTTTATAAAAAAATGTCAAATATATCAACACTTCAATTTAATCTAAGAGCTAAAAAGCAACAAGTAGTTTTTTGGCTAAGTTGAGTCATATGTAAAAGAAAAAAAAATGTTATTTTCTAAGAACAAGCAGAATGGCTTGAAATCTCGTTGCAGAGCTACAAGTTACGATGACCATAAGGAATACATGCTATTTTATTATTATGAATGCTTAATTTCACCGTCACCAATTATGGTGGAAATCATTTCCATTGGTATTTTTAAAGAAAAGGACTAGTTCATAAAAGGGGAAAAATAATTGAAGGAACTCTTTATTGAAAATTTTAGAAGTGATGATTTGTCTCTTCTCATTTTATGCAAAAAATTGTGTTATTTTAAATATAACTTTTTTATTAATAGTAGAGCTTATAGACGTGTCTCAAGGTGAAAATGGATAGTGATAAATTATTTTATTAGAATTTTTTGTGATCCATTATTCATCATCTTAGATTTACTTTTCTAGAGCGGAAAGATCCACAATTTTCCCTTTCAGATTAATTCGATTTTGTGATCATTACATAGTTATGGAACATCATAATGTCCACATTCCTTATTATTATCTAAGATGTTTGGATGCTGCTAAATACACCTAAAGCCAAAGATGTTACTTTCATCTTTGACTTAGATCTCAACAACAAAGTAAGATAATCTATGTCATTGAATATCTTGATATAATGAAGATTTGCTAGCTTTAATTAGATTTCTCACCAAGATTTCTAGATGAAGTACTGTGAGTATGCGGTGATTCTCAAATAATAGAATGAGAGAGGTTTTCAATTATTTGTTTGTCTTGATAATGAATTCAACCAAGTTTGTGTTCAGATTTTAAGCAAAGGGAATTTATCATCTCAAAGTAAAGTTTTCTTACTCATAGGGTTGAGGAAGAAGGATGATAATATTGGATAACGTTATCCTATGACGCCCACTTAGCCTCATGAAAAAAGATTAATGGTCACTAATTCTGACGTGGGGCTTTCCTAGTGGCTTATTCCCAATGGCTGAACCGGTTGAGCAAGGACCTCAGGAGGACGGTCAACCCTAGAGATTGAGCTCGGGTTACCGCTAAAGGTGAGGGTTTTCCCCCTCCTATTTACCTACTACCATATATGTTATTTTAATTCATTAGGGTCAGTTTTTGTATTTTGAGAATTCCATCCAGCTTGTCATTGGCATTTGTGTTCCATGCTGTATCCTACTCTGAGATTGTGATTATACCCACGAGTCCTCACCGTATTCCTTCCTCGGGCTTGCTGACTTTCAAAAAACGATCATCCATCTGCCTAACACTTGCCGCAAATCCTCTAACCTCTCCTTCCAGACCTTGTTGTAAGCACTCCAACCCTTCCACCCTTGCTGCAAACCCTCTGACCCCCCCTTTCAGATCCCGCGGTACCTATTACAATCTTCCACCCTTGCCACAATCCTCCCCACACCTCCCAACCGCTACAACTAACGTCCTAACTTCTCCTGCAGGTGGCCGCAACCTTCCACCATACCGACTGTTGTTGATACCTCTTTATCCACCCTTTGCCCATATTGCTGCCTCCCTCAGCCTACAATCCCCGGTCCCACCATCTTAAACCGCAACCCTCCACCTACCTCCTTGCCATGGGTATCTCTTGTGTGTTGTGTTGTTTGTTTCTGCTTTAATAGTCTTTGCTTGTACTATTTTTTAATTCAACAATAATATTTGCAATATCTTTGTGGTTTGGGTTAACTCCGACATCATTTAGTATCAGAGTCTGTTAGCCCTAGTCATATCTTATGATTTCTAGCATCCGCTCTACC